GCCTTCATTGTTGACTTTACAACCCCTCGCAAAATGTCACAGAAAATTTTTGTTAAGCCTTCATTGTCGATTTTATGGCCTGAAATTTGTACTTTTCGTTTTTTAAATGAAAGAAAATTCATATAAATGAATTAGTGAAACTATTTTCCTTTACTTTAAAAGAGAGGATCCAACATTTATTGTTCAACCTGAGGCAGAGCTTTCACACTAAACTGACTTTGTACTGTAGCTGAACTCGTTATGCATTATTCATCACAAAAAAAAGAAGTTTTTCTAGAAATAATAATGGAATGTGGTTGCATTATTACTGTCTTTGTTGACTTTATAGAATCATTTACTGATAATTACTGTAGTTTCACTTAAAAAATATCCTCTCACTTCGTTAGATGTTGTAGCTTCCAGAAATGAAATTAATGAGATTACTTTATTGCCTCCATTGTTGACTTACACAAGTGAGTTGCTGTAGCTGTCTCTTCCAAAGAAAATCTTATCATGCATTATGAGAGAAATGAGGCAAAAATTATCGCAGCCAATTGTAGGAAATTTTTTATCATGTTAGTTATTATTCATTGGGGAAGCATTTCATTATTTTTCATTTTACCCTTACAAGCATACTGATGAGCCATCCACTCCTAACCGGGTGCATCAATTTTTTTTTTCCTTGGGTAATTGATTTTGTGTTTTATACAAATCTATTTTTCCTCATACGAAGAAAAATAGAACTTTGAAAAAATAGTTTGTTTATTTTTTTATCCCCTTTACTTTGAAAGAGAGAATCCAACATGTGCTGTTCATCCTGAGATAGAGGATTCACACAGAATTGGTTTCGTAGTGTAGATAAACTGGTTCTACTAAAATGCATTCAGAAAATGAATTAATGAGAGTATTTAATGCTTTTGTGCAAGACCCGTTCCCCAAATTTCATAGAAAAAATTTATTGAGCCTTCATTGTTGACTTTATAGGCCTTCGCAAAATGTCATAGAAAAAAATTTGTTGAGCCCTCATTGTTGATTTTACTATTTGAAATTTGTACTTTTCATTTTTTAAATGAAAGAAAATTCATATAAATGAATTAATGACACTATTTTATTGGATTCATTGGTTTTATGTTACTGTAGCTGCAAAAAAATGTTTTGTGATGGCTAAAAATGTCATTCACATAAATGAATTTTATCAACCTTCGTTGTTGACTTCACAAGGCAGTAGTTGTCTGCCCAAAAAAAAAAAATATCAATATAAATTTATCACATACTAACCATAAATGAAAGAAAACTTTCAAAATGAACAAACTAGTTTCATTACAGAGAACTAAATTCCATGAAATATCTCTTCAATGAAAGGAAGACACTGTTTTTTCGGTCTTGACAAAAGTAATAAATGGTTTGTAAAATAATTAATCTTTCTCTGGACGATCTACCAAACTGCAAAAAGAAGTAGATTTCTGTGAAAGAAGCTTTTCTATTGACGGAGGAAAGGGAGTTCAAACGAGAGATTGAGGAGTTGAAGGCTAAGGTGAATTCCCTAGAACTTTCTTTTTCACTTTTGTCTTCCCTTCAAACTTGTTCATTATTGAGTCTCATAAAAATAGCTTTAACCTTTTGTTGCTAAATCTGTTTGTTGGGTTTGTTTACATTTTTGAAAAATTGGTGTTTACTTCACACTTCTCTTAATATTTGATAAATTGTAATGGTTATTCATAGATCAGTTATATCTGTTTCATGATTTTGGAAAATAGGGAAGTGATGAATTTTTGCTAAATTTCGTGAGTGCTGTTTTATGGGATTGAAGACTTTTTGAAATTTTAGTTCAAGATTTATTAATTTGTTTTTGTAGCGCATTAATAAATAGTTTGTTGCAGTAGTCATTTGGTAGAATTATAAAATAGCTTAGAATGAATAAAATGAAAAGAAATAACATATAATCAAGAATGATATGGTAAACTATTTTTTTAGACAATTAGAAATTTACAATGATAGATTGAATAACATTTTCAAATGTTTTTACATTTGTTTATGGACATATTATCTATTACAGAAATGGATGAATAAAAATTAGAAAAAGTAGGAAAGAAGAAAGCATTAAATGCAGTTTGTCAAAATAAAAATATTGGCTTGGGAAATGAGTATTGTGTTAACCATGTATTTATAAATACTTTGGATTAACGAAAAAATTTGTACGTATGATTTTTGATATAGGAATGATGAGAGTTTTGAAAAGTTATATTTAAACTATATGTTTTTGGAAAGTGAATCATTTGAAATTGGAAATTTTTTATTTGTTTAATTTTTTTTTTTGTCTTTTGTTTCAACTTATATAGTGTGTATCCTTAAGTGATTTTGGGCAATATTGGTTTATAATGTTAGTTATGTAATTGTTGAGTAGAGTACTTTGTGTATGGGCAGTGAAGTAAAAAAGAAATTGTTCTAGGATGTGAAGAATCTTCTAAAAGCTGAAACTAGCCATAAAATTAAAAGGCAAGAGAATTGAACAAATACTTTAATTGTCTAGCATGAGTTTAAGCATCTAAAAAAGTTAAAATTTAGTGTATTTCAAACTCATTTTTGTTTGCTTATTTATTTGTATAGTTAATTTTTTTTAACATTATTGTTTACTATTCTCTTTGTCGCTCATTTAAAGTATATCCACGTATGCCTGGTTGTCATTAATATTTAAATCTTTGTATGATTGATGTTAATATACTTTTTACCTGGTTAGAAAGTTGAACGAATTTAATATATCTTTAACAGTTTGTTGTAACTAATTTTTTATTTTTGTATATTTTGGTTTTTGTGTATGAATGGTTTAATACATTTGCTAATAATGTGTATGAATTATTTTAGATTGTATTGCTTAGATTGGAGTAGAAATATTTAATAGTTCTTTCTGCTATCGTGATTAGGGCTTGACAAATCTCCTGAACCGAACCGACCGTGTAACACCCTGAAATTTTTAGAAATTATATATATATATAGTGGAAAAAGGTAGATTCTCTTTAAAAATGCATTGATTTGGGAATTGATAAGACTGGTGAATTAATCTTGAGCCGACCACGTATAGTAGGAAAGGGTCCATAAAAGTAAGGAAAATTTGTAGTCGTTTG